AAACCAGTCCAACACCATCCCTGGGCAGATAACTCTAGCTTGAGGATTTGTGTAGAGTGACATTGTACGCTCATTAAAAAAAGGCCATTAGGCCAACGTTCTCCATCGCCAAGCCCATGAATTTCCAGTTTACCCTATCGAAAGCCTTCTCTGCATGTAGTGCTATAAAGACTGATTGTATTTTAGAATTTTTAGATGATCTATTATATTTAAAATTTTAAGGAGATTATCAGTTTTATTTCTACCTGAGACAAATCCTGTTTGATCTTTAAAAATCTCATGAATCACGGTTTTTAGTGTTTCTGCTAGTATCTTTGAAAATAACTTAATATATATATATATATATATATATATATATATATATATGTTAATCAAGGAGATGGAGCGATAATTTGACAGGGTGTCGTGGTCCTTCCCAGGCTTGGGAATTGGGAGAACATTGGCCTGAAGATCCTGTGGAATAAGTTTACAAATAGAAAATGCAGTTTATATTCGCTGTAACAATAGTGAAATTATTTGAATAAATACTTTATAAAAAATCACTGCAAATCCATCTGATCTTGGAGCTTTAGCATTTTTTTTTAGCCATTTTATTGTATTTTGAATCTCCAAATTAGAAATAGGTTTATTCAGTTGTTCTAAATTATTTGATTAGATTTTAGGTAAATTGCATTTTTTTTTAAATTCTTTGATTATATTATCTTGTACTTCCACATTACCGTCTTTTTCCAAATTATATAAATTATGATAATAGGATCTAAATGCCTTTCCAATTTGTTTGGGAGATAGAAGTGTTTTATTCCATATCTTTATTTTGCACATTCGATTACACTTTTTTTTTAAAAATTATTTATTTATTGCAGAGGAGTTTATCTATTTTGTTATTATTCAAGTACCAATTTTGCTTTAAAGAAATTAAATTGCTATCTATTTTTTCTTGAAGTTTGATTTTAATTTGATTTTGAATTTGCATAATTTTTTTAGACGTATTTAAATTTGGATCATCTTTATTTAGTTTCTCTTGTTCGATTAGGGATATATATGTTTGATAGAGATTCTCCTTGGTTCTTTTTCACTTGGGAACCAAGTTTTATGAATAGACCTCTCATAACACATTTAAAGGATCCCCATATTGAGAAAATGGAAGTTTTCCCATTATCATTAATTAAATTAATTTAATCTCCATGTTGCTTGTGGGGCGTATTCTCTTTTATTTTTTAAAATATGGGTGCATGGTCTGACCATGTGATTGAAGCAATCCTTGAGGAAATACATCTGTTTAACGAATGCAATTTAGTAGTAAATAAATCGATCCTTGAGTATGAGCAATGTACATTTGAAAAGAAAGTATAATCCTGATCTTGGGGATGTAGTACTCTCCAGGTGTTGTACATAGAATTTTTTGCAAAAAAGTCCTGAAGTAAATCCGCATTTTTTCATGTAATTTGACATCAGGCACACAATTGAAATCGCCTCCCAAAATGAATGTGCCCTGTGTTAATTGATCAGATCTATTCATTGTTTTATCAAGAAATTTTATTTGAGACTGATTAGGGCAGTGTATATTTACTAATGTATATGTTATTAATTTTGCAGATCAAAAAAAAATATCTACCTTTATTATCTGTTTCCTCAAAGATCGGTTCAAATTTAACTTTATTAGAAACTATTATTGCTACACCACACTTTTTTTTTTCCCATTCGTCATATTAGCTTGATATACGTGTGGGTAACAGGAAAATAAGTCTTTTGAACAAATGCTACATCAAGTGAAAAACCAGATGGAGTCAAAGCGCTTAAGAATATCTGCAGTGCTGCTGCACTACCCCCAAGTGACACACAGTGACACAAATTAGCAATAGATACCAGAAAGTTGGAGTGTGCTAGCAACTGCACTGGAGTCAGGATCTTCTCTGAGTACTCTGAAAAAATATACAGTATATAGTGCAGACTATCTGTATATACAGGGTATGCAAAATTAAAGGTATATCTGGGGATCAACTCACATGGACCAGAGCCCTATCACCCCTGGCTCTGGGTTTGAATTGCTCCAATGGAGAGGGATAAACCCACAGTATAGCAAAACAGGATACTCTTCTGAATCAGATGTAATATCTAGGCAGTATAAACAAATAGAGAGGCAGGAACCCAAATTGAATAGTATCAAACACAGTATTTATTTAAACAAACGGTTAAAAACTCTTACTTGAAGTAGTGGGTTTGCCATCAATAAACCCACAACTAGATAAGCAGGAATTTACACACAAACAATGATACAGCTTAGACACTTCCTGGTTCCGGTCACGTGACCGCTGGGACCGCCTCTCTCTGATGTCACACGTGACGCGTTTCGCCCGCCTCCTGGGCTTCTTCTGAGCAAATGCTACATCAATATGATTCTGACATAGAGTATGATACAATTGACCTCTTTTATATGAAGTATCCATTCCCTGAGCATTAATTGATATAATATTAAATATCACTTATATTGGTTCTATTGATTTGAGCCTCTCTTTCTTCATCCTATTCTCAATAGTTCCCTCTGGAAAATTATAACACTACCTACAACAAATAAAATATAACCCCTTTCATACCTAACATCCATACGACATTCATACTTTAAACAAACACCGTGTGTGATCCGAAATCTCATTTCAGATCTGACCTATTTCCCTTTTAGGTCACACTTTCTATCATATTTTTTTTTTTTTTTTAAATGCTTCTGTTTCTCTTTTCCTATTTTCGAATTAATCTGTATTACTGTATTAATCCTCCCTCCCCTTTCTATCTCTCGGTGGAGGGTTTCCTTTAATTTTAACACCTTTTTCTTTCTCTTTTAACCAAAAACAAACATTTATTTAATTACATTACATTTCTCTCTCTAGTTCTCCTCTCCTCCAAAGTTTCCTCTCTATTGAACATTCTTGTGTATAAACCCCCTTATTCATCTCGCACTTGTTGTAATATTCCCATTTTTAACTATTTATTTCTATTAGTGAGAAACTCTATTATTTATCACACACGTTATACTAGCCGTATTTTCTCGTAAATATTTGTTATAAATGTAATCTTTACTCCAATACCAATTGAATTTGTTTTACTCTATTTTTTATTAGTGTTACCCTATTTCAAAAATCATTACATTACATTATCATTATTTGTCCCAATTAGTTTCTATGCAGAGCTAACTAAATTGACAATTGAAGCTTATATGAAATTATTAAGCATATTTTTGAGTAAGCAGATTCTGTAATCCCTATCTTCAAATCTCTTAATTCTCTGAGTTCCACATGCTTCAACAGAGAGAAAAAAGATCTAATAAAAAATAAAATGGAAAAAAAGATCTGGAAATGGTCTTTTATTTAGAACTGTGTGAAAAGATTCCATTTATTCAGTTGTTCTTTTGCTTGTATCGGATCTATAAAATTTTCGGCCTTTATAATTCATAATTAATTTTGTTGGAAATCCCCATTGATTATTTATCTTCTTCTGTCTTAGTTTTGTTGCTATATCTTGGAAGCGCCTTCTTGTTGTTAAGGTAGCTGCTGAGATGTCTGAGAAGGACTTGATAACTTTAGATTTCTCTTCGTTGAGTGGAGCATTTCGGATTTGTTTCATAATTTGATCTTTTAGATGGTATTTTGCAAATTGCACAATGATATCTCTGGGTGCTGTCACTTTTTTAGGTTTTGTTAACCTATGATATCTCTCTAGGGGATGTACCCCATACGAAGATATCTGTTATTGAAGAAAATAGATCTAGTAGTAAGCAAGTAGGGGAGAATAGCCAAAGATTAGATCTCAATCTCACTTGAGGTGCTGGAAAGGCTCACAGCAGAAACAGAACTGCAGCCATCTTGAAAGGTGGCGTGTCCCTCAAAGTGTGTACACGTGCACACCTCACGTTATCACGCCGGAGATTAGTTTTTAATTCTAACTATGTCTCTGTGAGTCTTTTTTTTTTTTGTTATCCCTGTACCTTTCTCCGAGGCTGTCTATAGAATGACAAACCCAGAAAGCCTGACGGACAGATGCAGACAGGTATAAGATGGAAAAGATAAACAGACTCAGCAAGAGAGAACTGATCCCAGTTCTTAGGTGTTACATTAGTTGTCACACTAACCACCCTTTCCCTTATACCTCTCTTTCCCTTCTATCTGATTGGGCCTGCTTGTGGAGCAGTCATACCAACACCTTGATTAACTGTCAGCATCAGTGTGTGAATGGAGTTATGTCTGTCGATCATTACCTACATGCTTTGGCAAAGCATGCAAAACTTTTAGATGGTCGTTCTCTGGCTAAGGAATAATCAAAGAAACTACAACTCGTCGCTGTACTTGTCTGTAATTGATGTAGAGTGAAGCAGGAGATCCACCCTAGTGTTTCCCTGTTCTTCACCTGTCAATCAACTCTTGGCATACCCATCATGTATTAGCCATAGTAGAGGAAGGTGACACAGTTTAATCGTTTTTGTGAAGGCTAAACATTTGTATAATATAGAGATGAAATTAAAAGTTCATGGAAGAGCTATCAAGTCTAAGTGGAGACCACAAATGCACTTTTAAGGCAGGATGAAAGGAGTAATTATTTTGTGCTATATTTGGCCCTCAATTTATATGGCTATGTAATATTTGCTCTCCTATTACATATCAGTATGACCCCCATATCTTTATGTGAAAAACTACAGGTCTCTTAATAATTATAATTTAACAAAAAAAAATAACCCATAGTTCAGAAAAAATATATATTTTATTGAATAGTTTTCCACAATGCAAGAGAAAGACTTTTGTAAAAAATATTATAGGGTGAATAGATGTATAGGTATTGAATAGAGTAGGTAATTATGGAAAAAGGGAACAATTTTCTTGCCTTTTTTAGCTTTAAGGAGAGCGGGTGAGTATATATGATATTTTAACAGAATGTTTAAAATCAAAATTACATTTTTCTTCCTCTTAATTAAAGACTTAAGACAAGATTGTTTATTATGTGTAGACATGCATCTATCATTTACATGATTGAGTTGACATATTCCATTAGTACTATCACTATAGATAGAGTGACTGATTTCCTAGGAAACCTCACTGGGGGGCTGGTTGTGATGCTGATTAGCCGCATGATTCTGCCCTACAGGTTTATTGCATTGTTCTGGAAACAAAAACCTGGAGATTACAATGACATACAATACAAACACTTGAATCTTTAGTATTCTGCAATATAATTTGATGGCGTTTTAACACAGACAGCATGGCAACTCTTGACCTGTTACTGGTTTAGAGAAAACAGTAAAAGTGGAAAGCACAGCATCCCATGCAGGCTGGTATAAAATCTTATCACACAATGAAGATTACCAGCAAGAGGGTTTCTCTGCAATTAGGGGAGGGTGCGAACAGAGGGAAAGCACAAAATCATTGGGAAAACAGTTGTCTGAGTCCCCACAAACTTATATGGCAACACTAATAATTAATACATATACCAGTATGCTGCTTAACCAGGTATGTGCTAGACCAGTGGTATGTATGTGCTTATGCCTGATTTTAAAAAAGAGTTCAGAAGCTGTGAACACACCCAGTACATTTCACTGTGCCATTCACACAGCTGTATATTTAATATTAACAGCAGCACTTAGTCCATATTAACCCTTCAGTATGATTTAGCAGTGGGAGGGTTAAAGCAGTGCTGTGTAGGGGTGTCTTTGTTTAGTCTTGCTGGTGATGTAAGGGTTACCCGGTTCTGTTTTCCGGGATGAGCTGATGGATGGCTAGCCGATCTCTGAGTCTCTTTGTCTTGCTGGTTCCATGCAGGCTTCTGATGGCTGGGTAGGGCACATTACCTCATGCCATGCCGAATCAACCAATACAAAAACTCCACTCCCGGCGCCTGGAGGCAAGTCGAACACGATAGGACCAATAAGAAAATATCTCTCCCTGTCTCCATGGCAACCTGTTTGTATATAACGGGCAGTGCTGGACCATGTGTTGCAGGTTCTCTTACATCGACCCCCTAAGAGTCGCGCTGTAAGAAGGCATCTCTCTTCTCCCTCCTCTCGCCCTCCTGTGTGCAGCTCCTAGTCAGTAAACATGGTAAGTGGCCCATCTGGTCCATCATGGCTAGCAGGGTGCAAGGAGCAGAGAATTCTCACTGTAGACAGGCAACATGTTTAAAAGAGTCTCTAGCAATAGAGATATTCACATATTGTGACTATTAAGGCGTTAATAATAATAATAAAACAAATTGCTAGATGTTCCTTCATGGATACAATGTGTATATGTGATCTGAGTTTATTAGAGCGAGGATTATACTAAGAGAGTGTCTAGTTATCTGTGTGATCGGTTGCTGGTGAAATTGAGAACTCTTCCCTATTGTTGGAGCTGTAGAACAATGGATGGCTTGTTAGCCTAGAAAGGGTTGCAAGAAGGGTGGTGTCGTGTGAGTTTGGAGATAGACATTGAACTGTAGGCTATTGTGCAGCCTTGCTAGCTCCCATGCTGGGTACTGCTTATTGTCATTTTACCGGATTAATGGCTGGCTAGCTACAATGCGGGCTACTGTTTAGTCTCATTTTATAATGGCTGGCTAGCTCCAATGCTGGGTACTGCTTATTTTAGAAGGGTGCTACCTCCCTCCTAAATCGGTATGGGATTCTTGCAGGGTTCAACCATCCCCATTGACCCTGCTCCTTTGGATGGTTCAATAATGACAATTGTGTATATAGTGATACTATTTTCCACGTTTTTAATTTGTTTTAACAACGCTTCGATCAAGAATTTGGAAACATAGGTGGTTACATTCCAGTAGAATGCGATTATGTTCTGAAATGGCTTCAGCGTGGCGTCTGCAGAGCATACCACGCCCTGTCCACGGAGACTGCAATCATGTAGCTAGAAGCAGGATCATTCCATCAGAACCCTCATCACAGTTTCCTGGCAAGCAGTGTGTATCACTTATACAAGAATAGTAACCCTTTATCAGGAAAACAAATCCATGGCAGGAAGTTCTCAGGCCGGAACGTTACTCTTATTTACAAAAGAAAGTGCTTTGTTGTGACACGCAAGCTGATGGTGATTGATGTACCCGGGGCTCTCAGATGTTTTGTATGTGACATAGGGTACCACGCGGCGCAATGGCAAAATGTCATGAGAATAGATGCGATAAGTGTGCATATCTGCTCATATAAAATGATGAATTTCAATACTCCAGCATTATACAAAGCATGCATTGTGAACTCGCTGCCCTTCATTTCCTTATCTGAGGTCAGGGAATATTGGCAGAAGGCATGGAATGAGATCACCCGGTACAAAGCACTGAATGACAGTGGGGCTGCAATGATAAATAACACACGGTATATCCTATTATTATTCCTGCTATGATTTTTCTTACGAATTTAATAGAATAGTTGATTTTCTGCAGTTGTGTTTAACCCCTTAAGGACCAAACGTCTGGAATAAAAAGGAATCATGACATGTCACACATGTCATGTGTCCTTAAGGGGTTAAGAATATGTTCGAAATGTAATAATGGCATTATACCATAGTTAGCAAGATATCATACAATACCTGCAGTACAGTAGATATAGACAAATTGCCTTGCCAATGAATAATTTGCATGCCTTTTGTTTCAGAGGGTGTGGCACATGTACCCAATCTAGCTTCTTTTTAGGGTAAAAAATAGGGTTTAAATAGTGAGGCATGACCAATAGGCTTGCACCAACATACATATTAATTAAATATATTAAATTAAAAAATATTTTTTTTTTTATCGATGTATCTTACAGTAAACCATAATAAAAACTGAAATAAATCCTGCTATAAACCATAGATGTAACTGGGTGTGTTTTAATTATAATGCAGATGCATGATGTTATATCATCAGAATTCCACATGTTTAGTCTCAGCCACAGTAATGTGTGAATTATTATTTTAATCTTTGTTTTCTCTTTTATGTGTACGTTCACATAGTAAAAAGTGAAGTCTTCAGGACTATCATGTTTATGATGACAGTTTTATGATCTAATAAAAAGAATAAACACTGGTATGAAAATAAACACTTAGAACCTGTTTGCTTTCTCTCCATTGTAGCGTGAGTGCATCTCTATCCACGTTGGTCAGGCTGGTGTCCAGATTGGTAATGCCTGCTGGGAGCTGTACTGCCTGGAACATGGCATTCAGCCTGATGGGCAGATGCCCAGCGACAAGACCATTGGAGGAGGGGACGATTCCTTCAACACCTTCTTCAGTGAGACTGGAGCTGGAAAACATGTCCCCAGGGCTGTGTTTGTAGATCTGGAACCAACAGTCATTGGTAAGTGCAACACAGAACTATGCTGATGGACATCCTTTTAACAAACTATATATATATATATATATATATATATATATATATATATATATACACACATACACACAAATTTTCATATCTCCAAGTTTGTTTGCAGAATACTGATTGAGTCATGCCTGGCTAAGAATAGCAATGGGCATTTAATACACAATATGAAAGATGTGTTTTTTAGTTACAGTGTAATGAGCCAATGACATAATGCAATTTACAACAGAGCTTTATTTAAGCCCATCACAAGTCCATATGGGTAGTAAGCTTGACATTGCCACAGGAGGTTCACAGAGTTTGTACTGTCTGCTGTAGACGGTGCTTTACAAGGTACATTCTACCAAATATATGGGGGACCAGCTAAACAAGATTAAGATTCCATCTGTTTTACATTTGTTTTAAATATTGGTCACTGAGGAAGTCCAAAACCAGGAAAACAAATGCATAGGACCATTGTTTTAAAAAAAAAAAAATCTATTTGAATAAAATCACTTTTCTACCTTCTACTCCCTGGAGTTCCCGTATTTTCAACTACATTGTTGCCACAATTGCGAAGAATCATTTGGAGGGGACTTTGTGTCCCCAGATTTGGGGGAAGGCACCATGAATGCATTCATACATCTTAATCTTGCCCGGCTGGTTCCCCATATATTTGGTAGATTGTATTGACATATGACCTATAGGAAGGATACCTACTGGGAGAATCTGACATTTATTTAGATGTCTTTGTGATTACATGGTACATGCCTGGAAGGAGTCTGCGTAAACTGAACCTCAATGCACCAATAGGCTGACTCTCAACCTTAAAGAAGTACTATAGGGTCACGAACACAAACATGTATTCCTGACCCTATTGTGTTAAAACCACCATTTACCCCTCCTGCCCCCCACCTCCCTAAATATAGTAAAACCTTACTTGTATACACGTCTGCAGCTGCCGACTCTGCCCATGCTGACATCATCAGAAGTGGTGGTCTGAGCCAATCACAATGCTTCCCCATAGGATTGGCTGAGACTGTCAAGGAGGCAGATCAGGGAAAGAGCCAGCACAAGTCAAACACAGCCCTGGCCAATCAGCATCTCCTCATAGAGATTAATTGAATCAATGCATCTCTATGTGGAAAGTTCGATGTCTGCATGCAGAGGGTGGAGACACTGAATGTCAGTGCTGCACACTAGGCAGGACTGCCCCAGAAACTACCTCCAGTATCCATATGAGCAGGGCCGGCGCGTCCATTAGGCGGCACAGGTGGCCGCCTTAGGGCGCACGGGCTCTGGGGGCGAAATATTTCAGTGACCGGCAGGAGGGAAGCCCTCCCTCCTGCCAGGCCACCATCTCGACCCCCGGCGTGGCAGTGCTGTGATCAGGCGCGGCAAGGGAGCTCTAATCTCCACCCTCTGCTCCCTCTCGCACTGCCTACTGATGCCACGGGAGCCGGAATATGACGTCATCAGTAGGCAGCCTGCGAGGGAGCAGAGGGTGGAGATTAGAGCTCCCTCGCCGTGCCAGCACAGCACTGCATGCCTCTCAGCATCCCCAGGGACAGATACATCATCCACACCAGCTCTCCAGGTAGGGAGGCTGGGTGGAAAATGTGTATTTATAAAATAATTAGTGAATGTATGTGATGTGTGTCTGTGAGTTACAGCGTGTGTGACTGAGTGTGTGTGTGTCTGAGTGACTGAGTGTGTGTGTGTGTGAGTGACTGAGTGTTTGTGTGTCTGAGTGACTGAGTGTGTGAGTGAGTGATTGTATGAGTGTGTGTGTCTGAGTGACTGAGCATGTGTCTGTGAGTGACAGTGTGTGTGAGTGACTGTGTGCGTCTGTGTGTGTGTCTGTGAGTGACAGCGTGTGTGACTGAGTGTGTGTGTGTCTGAGTGACTGAGTGTGTGTGTGTGAGTGAGTGATTGTATGAGTGTGTGTGTCTGAATGACTGAGCGTGTGTCTGTGAGTGACAGTGTGTGTGAGTGACTGTGTGTGTCTGTGAGTGACTGTGTGTGTGTGTGAGTGTGTCTGTGTGTCTGTGAGTGATTGTATGAGTGTGTGCATGTGAGTGTATGGGTGTGTCTGTCAGTGTATGATGAGTGTGTTTGTCAGTGTATAAGTGTGTGTCTGTCAAATCAGTGAGAGTATGTTGGTCATTGAGTCTGTGTGTGACTATCAGTGTGTCAGTCAATGAGTGTCAATCAGTGTGGGTCTGTCAGTGTCAATGAATGAGTGTGTCAGATCAATGAGTCTGTGTCTGTCAGCGACGTCTGTGTGTTTGTCATTGAGTGTGTGACTGTCAGTGTGTACAGAGTGTAGTGGAGCAGAGCGCGGTACAGGAGCTTCTGTTTCCTGTACCTGGCCAGACTGACAGGAGGTGCTCACAGAGAGAGCACTCCCTGTCAGTCCGGCCGGGTACAGGAAACTGAAGCTCCTTTAGGGGATCTGCTCCGCTCGGCAATGCAACAATAGAGGTAGGAGGCACACCAGGAAGCAGAGTGTGACCACTAAAGGGGTGTGGGGTGCACCAAGGGACAGGGAGGGAATGGGAGAGAAACACCAAGAGACAGGGAAAAAAGGGGGGAGGGGAGAAGAACACTAAGGGACAGGGAAGGGAAGGGACCACTAATGGGCGGGGAGGGGAGAGGGGCTGGTTAAGAGGCACATAGGTGAAGATTTTTTGGGGGGGAGGAGGGGCGGAAAAATGCATCTTCGCCTATGTACCTAAAAATCCAAGCACCAGCCCTGCATATGCGGAGTGCCCAGTGGTGTTATTACTAGGCTGTAATGTAAACATTGCATTTTCTCTGAAAAGACAGTGTTTACAGCAAAAAGCCTGAAGGGGATGATTCTACTCATCAGAACAAATATGATAAGTTGTAGTTGTTTTGGTGACTATAGTGTCCCTTTAATAAAAAGGAACTACAATGATGTTAGAGACTACTTTCCACCATTAAACAACACATTTCTATTAAACAGAACTTGTATTAATGATGGTAATGTTTTCTTGAGCAACTTTTATTATGCACATTTTGTAAACTAATCTGACTCTTGTTGTTTTTCAATTCCCTCCCATTTAATTGCCTGGGCCTTTGGCTGGCATATGATTATGGGCATTTAAGTTAATCACCATTTAGAGGGCAAAATATGGACAACATCTGTAGCTTTTATGCAATAGCAGTGTTAATTCTAATATAAAAGCAAGGGAAGAACTAGAAAATGTTGATAAACCATGCATGTCAAGCTTTATAGCTTGGGTTGCACTTTTTATATGTGAATTATTTGTTTAACTGATATTTAGTAATTTAAAGTCATTTTTTAAATCTTTGCAGATGAGGTACGTACTGGCACATACCGCCAGCTGTTCCACCCAGAGCAGCTTATCACTGGCAAAGAAGATGCAGCCAACAACTATGCTCGTGGACACTACACAATCGGCAAAGAGATCATCGACTTGGTTCTGGATAGGATTCGGAAACTGGTAAGTAAAAAAAATCGTGTTGCATTTTTAATAGTTCATTAGAAGGTGAATAGAAAACTATACTAAAACATTAATAATGCAATAAGTATTATTTGTAATGTGCTTAACAGAGTATTTATTTATCTACAGGCTGACCAGTGCACAGGTCTTCAGGGTTTCCTGGTCTTTCACAGTTTTGGTGGCGGCACTGGTTCTGGATTCACCTCCCTGTTGATGGAACGTCTCTCTGTTGATTATGGGAAGAAGTCCAAGCTGGAGTTCTCAATCTACCCTGCGCCCCAGGTCTCAACAGCTGTGGTTGAGCCCTATAACTCCATCCTGACCACTCACACCACCTTGGAGCATTCAGATTGTGCCTTCATGGTGGACAATGAGGCTATCTATGACATTTGCCGCAGGAACCTAGATATTGAGCGTCCCACATACACCAATTTGAACAGGCTCATAGGTCAGATAGTGTCCTCTATTACAGCCTCTCTCAGGTTTGATGGTGCCCTGAATGTTGATCTTACTGAATTCCAGACCAACTTGGTACCCTATCCTCGTATTCATTTCCCTCTGGCCACTTATGCCCCTGTTATTTCAGCAGAGAAAGCTTACCATGAGCAGCTCTCTGTTGCTGAGATCACAAATGCCTGCTTTGAGCCAGCTAATCAGATGGTGAAATGTGACCCACGTCACGGTAAATACATGGCTTGCTGCCTGTTATATCGTGGTGATGTGGTACCTAAAGATGTTAATGCAGCTATTGCCACCATCAAGACCAAGCGTACCATTCAATTTGTAGACTGGTGTCCAACTGGCTTTAAAGTAGGTATTAACTACCAGCCACCAACTGTGGTTCCAGGTGGTGACCTGGCCAAGGTACAGCGTGCTGTGTGTATGTTGAGCAACACCACTGCAATTGCTGAGGCCTGGGCCCGTCTGGACCACAAATTCGATCTTATGTATGCCAAACGTGCCTTTGTGCACTGGTATGTTGGTGAGGGTATGGAGGAGGGAGAATTCTCTGAGGCCCGTGAAGACATGGCTGCCCTAGAGAAGGATTATGAGGAAGTTGGTGTCGATTCTGTGGAAGGAGATGGCGAAGAGGAGGGGGAAGAATATTAGATGTCAAAAACGGTGCTGCTTTTCACAGGGAACATAAAACCATCTAAGAAAGTATGACAAATGTCTTTGTTTCTATGTATCAAGTTTGTATGACATTGCATTTTTTCTGCAATTTAAATGGTCAAGACCAAAACACTTGAAACCTATGGGACATCCAGTCTGTACATTTCTACAATGGGTTTGACAATAAAACATTCCCTGTCTTACATGACTCTCTTCTATTTTTTTCCCCTCTCATTTAAGATATACAGTAATTATAAACAAAATAATGTAAATATTAAAAAGTTCAGAAATCAATCAATTACATTAATATTACAATGCATTGATTGATACAATTTAATCTCAGTTTCAGTTACATTTTCATCTATGCATTACACTAAGTAGCACACAAATCACTTTAAAAAGAGGAAAACCGTGAATCTAAACCTACAAATAAAATGGAGTCTGTATGTTAGCTAGCAATTGGCTACCAACAAGTAGCATATAAGGCAAATCAAGAAAAAAAAAATAGAGCTGTTTACCGCAGCAAACCATCACATAGAACAAGTATGTTAAAATCCAATCCTTTATTAATACATAATTTAAAATCAAAGTTTAAAAGTAAGGGCACTGAATGATCAGATGCCAAATCCACACACCACTCTCTGTGTACCAAATGACAATAAATAGATGTAATACTTATACATATGCAGATGTATATCAGAGGTATTCCATATGGTGAATTCCTATAATAACAAAAGATAATACATAGTATAGACTGTATTGACAAATGGAAAAATAAGAATTGAATCCACTCACGGATTACAGAGCCGTACCAGGCTCTGTGTATAGGGCCCAAAGGTGCTGCCTTTTCTCTGAAAAGTTACAGTTTACTGCACAAGTATACCCTGCCCACATCTAGTGTGACAGGTCTTTTTTATTTTCAACTCTCTAGAAACAAGGTTTTCAAAAATGTGACAGTGGAAGTGGTGCTGGTGGTACTAGATCTTTTCCATCATTTTAAGTGTTAAACTCTATCATATTGATCAGTATTCTTTCAGACCTGAGGAAGAGAGAAAAACTGTTGAAAGCTTGCCTTTTAAATATTATGTTAGTCCAATAAAAAAGGTATCATTGAATAGGTATTTTGACTTTTTTTTTAAAATATCCCTGCTGCTGCTCACTTTTATTTCAAATTTATTTTAGAGAAGTAGTGTTGCCCTGTCTGGCCGTGTCTTGTTCGTAGGAAAAAGTGAGTGGGCATGTTTAATAGATGATCCAGTCATCCCACCCTGAGAACAAAATTTTCCTGCACATCCAGTCTGTAGCGTGATTGACCGTCTGTCAGTGTGGGGGGAAAAACTGTGCCCTATCATCAGCTTCTATCAACTGCGTCTGTGGAGGTAGTAAGCAATGCAAGACTCAGCCAGGCAGGGCAAAACCACTACAATGAAAAGCAATTGAAAAAAGGATTGACTGCAGCCAGAGTAATGTAATTTGAAAAATTGGGAATTTTATTAAAAGAGAAAGGAAAAATTAGTGTGCAACTGATGATCCACTCACCTATTCCACCCTTTGAAGGGACACTGCACTGCCCAAATATAACAAATAAAAATCAATGTTTAGTAGATATATCCCAAATGAAAACTTTTAATTATGCATTTTTTTCCACTAGTATATCTAAAAACAGCTTGCAAAAGTTGCAGTTCTGCCTTTGCAATCCCTCCTCTTCCCGCCTATATTTTATGTAGCTTTCCAATCACAGGCTTCCCAATACAGTGAGAAGTCTTTGCAAGGTGCTCTGGGCAATTGCTATCTCCTGAGTTTAGCTACACTGAACTAACTAAACCAGGAAGTAACAGGAGCTGTTGTCTGCTTGAAAGCCAATGGGGTGTAACCAGGATCAATTTAAAAAGTGACAATTTCTATTGAAATCTGCATTTATTTGCAAAATTAAATAAAGAGGACACACTATTCAAACATAAAGCTTTTCAGGAAGCTAAACTGCTCTAAAGGTCTGCTTTAAAGGCAAGATTATAAGACATCTCTTTAAAATAGGTTCAAACAAATTAATTGCTTGAACAAATATGTTGACTCAAAGCAACTCTGTAAGCTATTGCAGCTACAAGTTTATATGCTTTGGAAAACAGATGGCGAGGCAGTTCTATATTTTATTAAGGAGTGTGCATGTGGGTATAATTTGGAATGTGCCATATGATAGCACCACAGCTTGCACCGATCAGATGAATGGGCCCTAGCCAGGCTCTGTAAAATAGCTTTAAAAAGTCACTTGAACAAGCTATGTTTGATATGCCTGTCATACTTTGCATGTTATTCTGAATTGTAATCAAAGAGTTACACTAAGCTTTCTAACTTTAAAACACAAAAATAATACCATATTAAGTATTACTCTCTAGCTCCCCCTCCCCCCCATTATTACAAAGATGAATAAAATAAGTTTTACTCAGCTGAAATTCAGTGCCAGGTGAAGATTGCGGTAGTGGTCAGCACGACCCCTCCTCCCTTCCCCTCGTGTGGTGCAATCAAAGAATTCTCAAATTGAAGCCTTTGATTGGACCATTTAGCACTGTGTTTGGGCATTTGTGTCAATGCGGGTATATATGCGTATCTGTGTGTGTCAGTGTGTATGTGTGGCTGCAAAAATTTAGTTCGGCACTTCCGAAATTCGGCAACTCCCTAACCCTACTAGGGTTAAGGGTAGGGTTAGAGGAAGGTTGGGGTAAGGGTTAGGAGTAGGGTTATGGGGTAGGGCTCGATTCCTGTCATCATTCCATTAATTTTCCCTCCCTTTCCTGTTTTGCCACTTCGTCAATTCCAAAATTCGGCACCGGTTCAGTTTGGCACTTCGGACATTCGGAAGCATCCAAATGTCCAAATTGTGGCACTTTGGTTCAGTTTGGCACTTCGGACATTCGGAAGCATCAGAATGTCCGAATTGCCAACATTCGTCTGAATTTAAATTCAAAACGAATTGCACATGTCTAATGTGTACACATCCCAGCATTCACATTCAAAACATCAACACTATGTATATATATATATATACACACACACACCCCTACAATCAAACTCCAACACACTGTTTCAAACACCAGCACTACACTGTTGCATTACAAACACAACCCTGTATTAAAATGTCAACATTACATACAAACACACCCCTGAATTCAAACACCAACACTACATACAAGCACACCACTGCTTTCAAACACACTACACACGAGTGTGCAACTGCTTAGCTCTGAAAAGATGGGCAAATGGTAGATCAACAGCTGACAAAGCATTGTGGGAAATGTACAACAGCTGGGAATCTACCTTTCACCAAGGCCCTCTCTACATTATTTTTGCCATTGATAGATTTGCCTAATTAAAAAAATCTACATAACCATATAATATTCTATATAACCACTCCAAAGAATAGGGTTCCCTTAGATATGTTGGTCAGTGAGAGGGGGTTCTGGGGAGGAATTGGAGAGAACTGCCTGGGAGGACATGTGGGAGGCAGCTGCTAAGGTCTCAGTATGTGTAGTTTCCCAAGAACAAATGTATACATTTTTTGTTTTGCTGGTACACAACCCTCGTTCAATTGTGTCAGATGGGGAGGTCTCCTATTGAGTTTTGTTGGAGAACCTGCGGTTACAAAGGGTCCTACCAACATATATGGAGGGGATGACCTAAATTAACTACACTCTGGGTGCGTTAGCGAGCCTTCTCCAAGCCTTTTCCACAGACCACCTAGAACCATGGTCCATGTTGCTCTCACACCCAGTGGAAGGTCTCCCAACACACTCACAAAGGTTATATATAATGGGATACCGTTGGCTGCTCGAAGAATACTATCAGCTAAATGGTTGGGTAATGGGATTCCTTTAAGGAGAGAGATTAAAGGGAAAATATAGTCACCAGAATAACTACAGCTTAATGTAATTTTTCTGTGGTCTATTGCCTGTCTCTACGGGCTTTTGGTTGTAAACACTGCATTGCAGCCTAGGAACACCTCTAGTGTCCTGGGAGACTCATAGGCGAGTTCCTGGTTATCTTGAAAACGAAACCTCATGTGGCTAGCAGAGCTGATTTGCAAGAGTCTCTCAGAAGAGGCAATGTAAGCACTCCAGCAGGGACAGCAATAACTCCCGATGGACACTTTTTGGTGTGCCATGGCTCCTCAAGGTTTGCAGTGGCAAATAACTCAAACTAAATAGGAATGGGAAGCAATTTTTGGTAGATGTGGTACTGAAATTACCATAAAATTATACAAAATATATCAACCACACAAAATAATATATCTTTGAAACCCATCTAAAAACACATCTTAATTTAGAATAATTATTTCACAGTACACTAGCCCTAACCCGCAGGATAAAGTCACAATAAGTAAGACAGAAGGTACAATAGGCAGATATGTATTATTGGTCCTTTTTTGGATTTAACATAAATAGGAACAAAACAGTCAGTATACCAGTCAAGCTAAAGAATCACAGAAAGAGACAAAATTTAAAAAAAAAAAATGCCAAGGTCTAGGATTACAGAGAGTAGTCGAGAAGTCGAGAACAAGCCAATGCCAGAAAACCAGCTCAAAAATCAGAAATATAAACATGCTCTTGGATCACGGAAATGGAAACTATATATATCTATGTATATATATATATATATATATATATATATATCTTAAAGACTTGTGGGATTGCCTAATGTCAACCCTATGATGCTAAATAGTACATGTACGGTGTTGAACACATGACGCGAGCACATTCACATCAGTGGGGACATGAAGACGTTAAAAATTGAGCGATTTCACAGTAAAGTAGAGAGAGAGTGATAAAATATGGAGATTGCAGGTATAGATGGAATGATCAAGATAATCATAGTATGACAAATGAGACATCATTTTATTTTTTATGAATAAAACTAAAAATGTGTTACTCTAACTCTTATTCCTGTATCCCCATCTTACCAGACTTGATGTAGTTTAGTTTGTCTAGCTATTCTCACCTTTAAAA